ATTCTAGTCTTAATACGCTATAATCTGTTTAAAACATCTATTCTAGTCTTAATACGCTATAATCTGTTTAAAACATCTATTCTTGTCTTAATACGCTATAATCTGTTTAAAACATCTATTATTCTAGTCGTAATACGCTATAATCTGTTTAAAACATCTATTATTCTAGTCGTAATACGCTATAATCTGTTTAAAACATCTTCTATTCTAGTCTTAATACGCTATAATCCGTTTAAAACTTTTTCTATTCACCAACAAATTATTATATTAGACATAGCAGTTTTATTATGAATATACCCCCCCTAAAAACATACTTTAAACTTTAAAAATATTACGTATATTTCGAAAATTATCAGGACTAAATGATAAGCTATTTGACTTAAGTTTGAAACTAAAAACCTGGGAATCCACAAAAAATATTTCAACAAAATACAAGTATCTAATTGCATAACAATACATTCACACTTCATTCACAGCTAATATAAAATATCATGTATGATAATACAGTTGTGGTCCACCATCCATTACCAGTTACCCAAGTAGTTATCTACAGTTGTGGTCCACCATCCATTACCAGTTACCCAAGTAGTTATCTACAGTTGTGGTCCACCATCCATTACCAGTTACCCAAGTAGTTATCTACAGTTGTGGTCCACCATCCATTACCAGTTACCCAAGTAGTTATCTACAGTTGTGGTCCACCATCCATTACCAGTTACCCAAGTAGTTATCTACAGTTGTGGTCCACCATCCATTACCAGTTACCCAAGTAGTTATCTCAGTTGGGTAACTGGTAATGGATGGTGGACCACAAGTAATTATCTACAGTTATGGTCCACCATCTTTCACCAACATATATATCTAAATGTTATTCCAATTAGGAAGTTTGCTTACATTTAAATGAAGATGATGATACAGATATTTTACAATTTAAACACAGCAACAAACTAAAAAACAATTCAAAAAGTTCTAGATAAACCTTGTAAAGTTGCATAGTATAACTTATACAAAGTTGTTGTTTTAATTGTTTAAATTTTTGTAATGTCAACTAAAATTAATTAGCAATTTTGTTTTGAAGAATTTTATAAATATTATATATTGTTTATAAATAACATTTATAATAGTAGTTATTAATACTGTTGTGTGATAAAGTTTTTCCCTAAACAAAACTGGCCTTCAGAAAATAAAAACAGATAACATAATTTAAATATTAATTTTTTTCCTTTAATTATGATGTTAATAATAAAAAGGACTAGAGGGGGAGCAGTTAGACAAAAGCACTAACCACAAACATTTGGGCTGCTCTTGTCTAACTGAACAGTGGGACTTAACCATCACTAGCACATTCATGGTTCCATAATTTAATTAGCAGTAATGGAATATGTACGGACTAGGAATCGTCAGACTTAATTAAGAGTCCAGGCAAGCTAATCATTAGGCTTTGTCCAACACTTTTGCTGATTGAAATTGTGTCAATCTTTGTTTACTGCCAAACACAATTAACACAATATTCATAGCAGAATGTCACATTTGACAGTAATATAATCTAAATAACTGAAAAAAAATTATTTAAATTTCTGAAAGTGGGGGAAAAAAAATTAACTTTTTTTTTAAATAATTTTTAGGAGGAGCTCCCTAAAGAATGTATTACAGACCACAAAATAGTCATTTAAAATTTTGTTTTTCTCAAATATACAAAACTTCATCATCTCAAGCCCGGAGAAGAAATGTAACCGAAGCATTCCTCCACAAATTTTTACATGTATAATTAGTTGCAACAGTGAGATCACTGAAGATTCTAGGCTGAGACAGAATATGTTGTGAGGTACGATTGTTTTTGAATGCTTAGAAATACTATGTGTACACTGCCCCTATCAGGATCACATGTAATGTACTTACACGGTTATTACACAGTAAAACTTAAATGTAAGAAAATAAGATCATACTTACAGGATTTATTTATTTACACCACTACCTTGACAGACAGTGTGGAAAGTGTCGATGTAATGTCTTCTGCTGACAACTCAATTTCCTCAGCTTCCACGGGTGCAACTGTGGCCGGTCTAAGAAAGAGCGTGCGACTATGTTCCCGACCATATCCAATTACTTCTATCTTGTCCTCGTACACGGAAAGAGTCATGAAGGCTTGTTCCAAGGGGGAAGTCTCGATGATACCAGCTAATACAAGATAGTGGACTCCATGGGAGTCTACAGCATAGCCACTTTTATGGGCATGACCACACAAGTAAAGAACCACAGAACTGTGGCGATGAAAGACATCCATAACTTCTTGATAATTCCACAGGAGACAGCTGTCATCTACACTTCCAGGACAAAGAGCAACATGACCTAGGAAAGATGCATATATTCTATTCTTCGGCTGATGAAGACAGAGTAACAATACGTTATCTGCATATCCTAACACAAACACAGATTTAATGACCAAAGTAATTTAAGTTAATTTATGCTCTTTTATAATAAACCCAAACAAATGTCTTAGTGTTAATAAATGTTCTTATTGCAAGTATCAAAATAATTGAACTCAAGTCCTAAACCAAATATATTGTTTTTATATTTCTTATTACAGTATTCACTAATACATACCAAACAAAATAACTTTTTCTCCATTTGTGTCAGAATCCTGCAGTTCTTTGTCTAACCAATCCAACTGTTCTTCGCTAGCTGCTCCATTCTGAGCTTGAAAACGCTTGTTACGGCCGTGGAGGAAGTGATCACAATCCCATCCATCAAAATCGTAATGGCCATGATGAGAATACAGAATCTCTGCTGCCTGCACGTAACGAGGATGGGAAGGCTCGTAACCAATAACACTGACTTCAAAACAGTCCAAAGAAATACACTTGATCCCTTTAACGGGACTAAATGTATAATACAATGGAGAAGTCAAGCAAGTGGGCACATCTGGAGGAGCAAGTATATGCTCCGACACATCCAAGTGTGACAGAGATTCCCAAAAGAAACCAGTCAATTCTTTTCTTGAGAAATTATACAGTTCATGATTACCTACAGTATGGAAGGTTGGGATGTTTGCATATTTCTCAAAACGAGCTAGTGTCCTCTTCATTGCTATATGAGAGCTAGCATCATTCCGATTAAGTCCATCAATAATATCACCAAGTTGCAGCACAAAATTAACTGACCCTTCTCTTTCCCACTCACAAAAAGCACTGTCTACATGATCCAAAGCCTCCCTGTAGTAACGACACAAGAGTGGGTTATAATGTGCAGGTCGGTCCTCACAATCTGCATACTGGACATCAGCCAAAGCACCAAAAGTAACCAAAAGTTGAGAAGTCATCTTAAATGTTGTGCAACTGGAGCAATTATAAATCTGGAGAGAAAGAAAAGTAATAAATAAAATCAGCATATTTATAAATATGTACACAAACACAGAACTGTCCTGATTTACAAATAGCTAAATAATATTTTTCAATAACATGATATACACATGCATCCTAGCCCCTTCGATAAAATTAATATGTATAACAGAGCAGAGAAGTGCACCAGAAGATCTTTCAAATTTCCTAGAGAATTAAAAAAACAGACGGGATATTTTTGCATTTATCAATCGTTAGTTCGAAAATTGTATCCAAAGGCAGGTTTTCCAGGAACTGTATGTAGGTATCTTACACTAATCAACCTGGACTAATATGTACCAAATTTATGTTATAATTAAGCTAATTCTAATACAGGTAAACAAACAATATATAAGTAATATTTATAATTATACTAATGATCAGTTCTTTTATTTGCTCCCCATTTCTTTTTCAGAAATTCAAAATTAATTTTAAAAAACAAGCTAGTACATAAACAATTGCTAATCATTTCCAAGAAAAAATATTTTCTTTACAATTATATGCTGTATATTACTTCGATTTTCTCGACCAGTTATTTTTAGTTAAGACTCCTTGTGCGTTAGTCGATATAACTCGTTAAGTATTTCCTATTAATAGTAATACTTACAACTATCAGTATTACTATTGGTATTCTAGGCTTAGAAGTTTGAGTTCTCAACAATAAAACTAAAAATCAAATTTGATTATGAATACACATTTTTCATAATTTGAAAAGATTAAGTATTGGTTAATTATTTTAAAATTTTCAACGATTTTTCAAGAATAAAAAAAAATGTTTGATTTAAGACGTGACCTATTCAACTTTCGACTAGTTTTGTTCGCCCAGTTAGGTAGCGTTTAAACTTTAACTTAATATGACCCTTTTTGGCAACTTAAAATACAGGAATAGCCCAACACTGTAATTTCTTCTTCTACCATACGCCCGTTGTCACAAACACATCAAACTTAAGTCCAGAAATCAATAAAATCATTTTAAAGTTTTGGCCTTAACTTAGAGCTACACTGGATGAGTAATTCATTTCATGATTAACTTCAAAATAAGTTATAACACAAATTCTATTTTACATTAACAATTAAATAAAAATAAATAAATAATACGTGAGAGTTCAAATGCAATGTAGAAGTAAAGACATAAATAAACTTACGTTCAATTTTTACCAAAAGTGTCGACCTAAGTAAATAAATCATGTCCTAAGGCACTAATATTAATAACTAATAAGAAAGTATGGTTAAATTTCACATACTGCTAATCTCCACCTCGAACTCGTAGTTACTATGTCAGCAAGTTTAATCCAACTGAAACTGGTAAACTAGTTGCCGAAATGACTTTGTCACGTTAGATTGAAAAATATACAATCATCATTTTTACTATAACTTATAGTACAAGTTTTATATTATTTTACATCCTTAAAAATTCTACAAATTATATATATATATATATACGTTATCAAGTTAAACTTCATACATTCATCCCTTGGCCAACTGATATTAAACAATCCTACATTACTTAACACCGGCACCCCAAGGCACAGAATATTTACACCGAAGGTGACCCTAGTCGAGCCTATCTTAACCATCCAATCATATAACGACACAAAGTGATTTGAACATGTTCACGTGCTGTTTGAAAGTGGAGGCCTGGGCATTCACGTGACAACTTCGTGATGTGAGCTGGATTAAGTTTTTTCGATATGCAAGTTGCATGTGCATGGGTTATTGAGTCACGAGTAAATATTATTTCGCACGACGTGGGAAGAAAGTATTAGGTTAACTCATTAGGCTAATACACACATCTGAGTGAAACCTTTATTTTTGTGATGTTCCGGGCACACCCCCTTTCGTCACACAGTATATACCGTGATACAGAGTCACAAAACTTAGTTTCGTTTACATGTTTGTGTTACTTATTTATATTGTTACATATCTGGTTGTTTGTTAATTTCCCGTAGAAATTCTTTCCAAGAAACTTCAGCGAAACGAGTTCTTTCTTAATTAAAACTGGTTTATTCTTTCTCGTTACAAACTTTGTAATAAACTTAATTTCCACAGTCAATACGTTTACAATCTCGATAACAAAACACACACTTATATTACCGTCACTACCGCTCGCTTGACTCAATTATCTGTCTATCTATCTGCAATTATTCGCTGGACTTATATACTAAAATAGAGGGCGCCTGGAGAACACTAGAGGACAATTCACGATCCTTCTAGAAACTCATCACGTGTTACAAGCGTCACGTGACTTCCGCTGTCGTAACATTGCCCCTTCCTTAGTATTGTTGGTCCCGAACAATAGCCACTTACATTAAACCAATAGATAATTAACAATAACTTGATTAAATGTGCAGAATTTACAAACACAAAATTAAAATTAAAAACAAAGAGAACGAGAAAAGAAACAAGAAGAGAGGCTACAGCAGTGGTTGGAGGAGAAAGAAAATAAACAAGAAGAGAGATTACAGCAGTGGTTGGAAGAGAAAGAAAATGAACAAGAAGAGAGACTACAGCAGTGGTTCGAGGAGAAATAAAATCAACAAGAAGAACGAGAAAAGAAACAAGAAGAAAGTCTCCAACAACTGAGAGAAAGCCAGCATACACAAATGGAAAAGATTAGTAAATTTCAAAGTGAATTAAATACATTACAGGATGATTTACTGTCCTTTACACAGGGAGGATATATTAACCATGAACCTAATTAGCCCCAGACAACACGAAGACCCTTCCAGACCCCGCAGCTAAACCCTAATGCAGACATCTACAGTCCTGCTAGAAGACACATTCCAGACATGAGTGTCAGCAGTAGGGGTGATCTAGTGCGATAGAAGCAGGAAATCGATGTGATCCCTCAGCAACAACTTGAGGACATCGGGTGGCACAGTTAGGTAGGCCTTGTGTGCCATACTTTCCAAATCCTGTGCCAGCTCTTGCAGGCTCTCCCATTTAGCACGGACTCTCGTCCTAAACCTAGCCCTGTAGACTTCAGTCTGATTTTGTGTTCCATACCTAAGTTCTAGAGCAGCTACGAGTGCTCTATAGTTGTGTCTGTTGTCTCCTGACAACTGTCTAAGTATTTCCAGCGGTTGTCCCTTCAAGCTCGTTGCCAGATATACTGCTTTCTGCTGCTCTGTCCATCCATTCATTTCTACCAGTAGCTCAAATTGTGCTCTTTATGCTTCCCACGATGCCTTCCCATCGAATTCCTGTGGCTTTCTTCGTACTAGATCATCCCTATTGCTGACACTCATGTCTGGAATGTGACTTCTAACAGGACTGAAGATGTCTGCATTAGGATTTAGCTGCGGGGTCTGGAAGGGGCTTGCCGTTGTCTGGGGCTGATTATGTCGTTGGTCAATGTATCCTTTTTGTGTAAAAGACAATAAATCATCCTTTAATGCATTTAATTCGCTTTGAAATTTACTAATGTTTACCATTTGTGTACTCTGGCTTTCTCTCAACTGTTGGAGACTTTCTTCTTGTTTATTTTCTTTCTTCCTCCAGCCAATGCTGTAGTCTCTTTTCTTGTTTCTTTTTTTTTCTCCTCCAATCACTGCTGTAATCTCACTTGTTTATTTTGCTGTTCGAGCTGCCACTGTTACAAGTTATCTTTCCACTGCTGTAATCTCTCTTCTTCTTTCTTTTCTTTTTCCTCCAACAACTGCTGTAATCTCTCTTCTTGTTTATTTTCTCGTTCTTCTTGTTTCTTTTCTTTTTCCTCCAATAACTGTTGTAATCTCTCTTCTTGCTTCTTTTCCTTTTCCTCCAACAACTGCTGTAATCTCTCTTCTTGTTTATTTTCTCGTTCTTCTTGTTTCTTTTCTTTTTCCTCCAACAGCTGCTGTAATCTCTCTTCTTGTTTATTTTCTCTTTCTATTTGTTTATTTTCTTTTTCCTCCAACAACTGCTGTAATCTCTCTTCTTGTTTATTTTGCTGTTCGAGCTGCCACTGTTGCAGGTTTTCTTGCAACTGCTGTTGTCTCTCTTCTTGTTTCTTTTCTCTTTCTTGTTGTTTCTTTTGCTGTTATTGTATTGCTGCCATCAAATCTGCTAAGCTGTAGTTTGATTTGCCACTACTCGTTTCCATCTTCTTCTTTTTTTTATTTTTATTTTCCGTCCCACTCTCTGACACCAATTTGTTACGTCTCTGTTCGTTTGTTAATTTTCCGTAGAAGTTCTTTCCCGGAAACTTCAGCGATACAAGTCCTTTCTTAAATAAAATTAGTTTATTCTTTCTCAGTACAACTTTGCAATACACTTAATTTCCACAGTCACTTTCACTTCAACACACGCTATAATTCACAACGAACGATTCACGCACTTTACTTACTACCGCGTTTGACTCAATTGTCCGTTTCTATCTCTGCAATTCAATTCCGATTAATTAATTTCGCTTTATTTGGCGCACTTATATACAAGAATAGAGAGCGCGTAGAAAAGACCAGAGTTGCCACGAACAGACATGATCCTTCCAGAATATCATGACGTGTTACTAGAGTCACGTGACTTTCGCTGTCGTAACAGTATGAAAATTCATTGGGTCGTTAGTTCTATTTTTCGTTGTTTCTTTGGCGTTAGTAATATAAAGTCGTCTTCTTTGTGTTTTTATTTAACTTCGTTTGTTTCTTTGTGTTCATGTTTAGCTTCGTTTACTTCTCGGGGGGGGGGGGTTGATTTGACGTGTTATTCTTCTTGTTCAGAGGTGTCGATTATTTCCATATCTGAGCTTCTGTGTTTACTTTATGTGCGGATATCTTCTTACCTTTTTGTTTCCTCCGTCGTTTCATTTTAAATGTATATTCCTTTTGTGCAAGGTCTATTAGGTTTTGTAATTTCGAGGTTATGTCCTTACCGAATGTTTGTTCATCCAAACCAGACGTGCCCCCCAGTGGCACAGCGGTATGTCTGCGGACTTACAACGCTAGAAACCGGGTTTCGATACCCGTGGTGGGCAGAGCACAGATAACCCTTGTGTAGCATTGTGCATAATTAACAACAAACAAACAAACCAAACCAGACGTACCTGTAAGAGAGCTAGTGCTGACGTCAGACATAGTTGCTTTAGTTTCCCGGGCTTGATACTCCCGTATAAGACAGGAGTCATTCAATAACTGATAATTTTCAGATATCCGAGATAGGAGATGTATACTAATAATTAGGTGGATATTGAGATGAAAGAAAAAATTAGTGAAGTTTAAAGCTGATGCAACTACTAAAGACGTATCCAACGTGAGTAATGAGAGAAATAAAAACAAGAAGATTACGTCAAAGATTAAATCTCTTCTGAAGCGAGTAGCTATAGACATATTCATATCATCACCCATGACTTGCAAGAGTGATAAATACATTTGAACGTTAGCCAACTATTTCACAATGTGGCTTACTTTTATCAACTTCACAGCTTTAAATCTCGTACTATCCAGTTTCGGTTAATCATCTGATTAGGTACGTGTTCCAGTTGAACTACATTTAAACTTTTTACCACTACTTCGCCTCTTGTAAATAGATCTTCACTAAATTTGGTATGAAGGTCCACGGGAAGATATATATAAATTTTCAGTTTTATGTTTTGCGGTTTTAATGGAAGTTTACCACTAGTTCGCCCCCTGTTGATGAATCTTTACCAAATTTGGTTTGTTGGGTCCATGCGAAGATATGTTGAAATTTA